AGGACTTGGAAGCTCAAAAGTCCTCTGGCCAGGAACACCTTGTGCTGGAAGGAGCATCACCGCACCTCAACCAAATCCACTCCTCCCCTCCTGAATCTAGTTGCATTTAGGGCCCTAAGTGGCAACCAGCAAATGCTGTAAATAATGGTATCACCAAACACTTTCCACACCATAAAAGCTGCCTTTGTTCCCCAATCTGGAGATCACTGAAACCTGACTCCACATCATACACATCGTTGTATTAAAACTTCCTGCCCATCATACCACCCCTTCTGTAAGATTTATCCAGTTCAATCTTAAAGAGAATCAGGTTTTATTTTTGCTCCCAATACTTTACTTAGATGATTGCAAAATTTCACTCCTTTGACAGCTGGGGAGCTGCCTCTCTTGCATTCAGTCATTGCTTTCTGATATAGTTTACTCATATACCTAATGAAAACTCCTGCAGAGAATTTAGCAGACGACCAAGCTGCAGTCAAAAGCAACCAGGGCTCATGGATAGGGGTGATATCTTTTATTAGGCCAACAAGATTTTTGCACAAAAAAAAATTCTTTAAAAGAAGTTTAAAATTTCTTTTAAAGACTTTTTCTTGCAAAAATCTTGTTGGTCTAATAAAAGACATCACATCTGTCCACAAGCCCTGATTGCTTTTTCCTCCAGACCAATACGGCTACAACCTGGATACAAGCTACAGTCAATTCAGTTGTTACATATCATCTCTTCTTTGCACTTGCAATGAGTGGTAGGAGAACAACAAAAACGGCAGAGCTGATTTAGAGTCCTGAGCAATCTGGCGTTATGTTCTGCCAGCAGCACTCCTCACTAATGCATTAGCATCCAAACTTTGATTTTCTGGTGCTTTACTGGAGCTTGTAATGGGTGCCAGAGGCACTCTAAATACATCTGAATCTTACTTGTTTACTTTTAATTTCATCCAGGAAGAGCACACACCAACTGCTGAAGCTTCCTTAGCCTGATGAAAGGTTTTTGAACCCGAAAGCTTGCTTAATAACTATTCTCCAACCATTTGGGTTGGTCTAATAAAAGATATCAAATTCACCCAAGGAACCTTGTCTGCCTATGTCCTTAGACCAACACGGCTACAACCCAAACCTCTGAATCTTACAGAACTTTAGGAAGGTTAGAATGGGAGTCACAGGAGACTGGACAAAGCAGGACTAATTTCTCCTGTCAGGCCCTGTTCATTTGCATCACCCTAGAACTGCTCAAATAACAAAATTAGAAGGTTTCTCAATATTTTATGTTTTCAGTTCACAAGCCTCAAAAAATGTACCCTTTGTGGTTTACAGTGAATGGTCTCTGATTTTAATAGTAATTTACATTGAAGTAGTTATTGAACACAATAAGAAATCTTTTCTATTAAGAAAAATTAAAAATGTCTACAACTATAGCTTAACTTATGAAAGTGTCGAAGACCAAACGAGCTACCAATAGCAATTTTTTTTAGGGAAAAATCCCCCAAATCAAAACCAAATATTGACCCTTTCTTCACTGCAGCTCCCTACTGGATATCTGAGCTCTACCCATTGTCCATGATGCCTGCAAAGCTTTTACAGACTCCTAGCTCTACTTCAAGCCCTGCCACTGTCCTATACTTTCCTTTTTTCTTTGTACTTCCTCTTAAGGTTCCTTCATCTTTTTTTGCCTCAAGGAAATTCAAAAGGTCAGGCAGGAGAATTTCTCTGTCACATCAAGGCAAGTTAAAAATCTCAGTCCTTATCTTTAAGGCTCTGGGAAAAAAGAGTAAGACAAAGCTGTAGGAAGGAGAGGCTGTAGCTGAGAGATCCACTTCAGGGACACAAGTGGACTTTCTACCACAAACGTAAAGCTCTTCTGTACAGAAGATAGAACTTTCTTAGGGGCCAGGCTGAAACTGTGGAACAAACTCTCCCAGGTTCGAAGAAACATCCCAAACCTCACCACCTTCTGACCCCAAAGGCAAGATGCACTTTAGCAGGGTTTTGTAAGCATATACAAGGAGCAGCACACGCATTTAAAATTCCTCCCCCAAACCAAGCCCTACCAATACAATCTCCACTGCCATTCTTCCACTGGGAAATGAATGAGAGAGGGAACGTATGAATTAAGCAATGTTAGTTGTGTGGCTTACGGAATGACCAGAAGGTGCTCAGACATAACAGCAATGAGGCAAGCCAGGCACTTGTGCAGAGTAAACTCAAGCTTGTTTGTACAGCTTCCCTCCCCAAACTGGAACCAGCCCTGGCAAAGCAAGCCCTACACACTTGTTCCTGCCCCCCCTCACCAAAGATCAAGTCTGGCAGTGGCACAACACACAGCCCAGGGTTCTTGAGCACGTGTTCAAGGGCTGCACTCAGGCTCTGTATCAACACAGTAGTAAACCTTGTTAGACTCGAGGAACCTCTTCATAATCTTTTCTGAATGTAGCACCACACCAATAAAAAAGTTTTTTTTTTAAATAAGTAGCAACATGTTTATGAAAGGGCATTCCAACCTTTTTTCTGGGGTCCCTTTACCTTAGATTAGATTTCTTTAAAAAAACCTCACAAAACACCCTTTTTCATTTTTTAAAAATTAAGTACATGGAAATAAAGCAGAAACATTATTTTTTAGGGCAATGTTACAGTTAAATCAGTACATACTGATCACTTCAGGATCAGAGCCCCATAGATGCATGGGTACAGTGGTCTGACTCATGAGTAGGCAAACTCTGGCACATGTGGCAGAGCATGGTACATGAAGAAGGCAATTTACTTTGCATGCACACCTCGAGGTGGACAGTGAGGGAGTCGTGAAAGGCCTGATCCTTGTTGTGGCAGTGCAGCATCAGCCCCTTCCCCACCATCCACCCCAAGGCACATGCGCACCCACTGCTGGCAACAAGCTAGGCTGAGGATCTGTTGACTCCAGTGCAGCTGCTTGCAGCCTCCCTGCCACCTGTGCACATGTGCCTTAGAACGAACATCAGGGAAGGGGCTGGGGCTGCACTGCCACAGCAAGGATCAGGCCCCTCGCGGCACCTGCACCATATGCCTCTGGCACACCAACATCTTACAAGTTGAGGTTGCAGGTGTTTTTGGCACTCTGCCCAAAAACACTGTGGACCCCTGGACTGACTAGAGGGTAGGGACCAGGGTTTGCTACACAATAGTAAAAAACTAAAACGTCTTTTCCTTACCCACAGAGCAGCTGTTTCCCTCTCAGTTTGTCAGCAGCAGTCTCTCACACGGACAAGTCAAGAAGGGAGACATTTGCTGTAAGACCCCAAGCAAAGGTTCTTGCCCTGAAGGCTGGCTCCTGAAGACTACCTGGGAATCTGGGGGCAGTGAGAGTATGCTTGAGCTGAGTGGGAGAAGACAAACTCCATGTCTGCTGCTGGCCTCTGGTCTCTGTGCCTTGCTCCTGCTTCTCCTGTGCTGATTCCATCTGAGCACCAGGGCACCTGCAGCTGCCAGCACCATCTGATGCAGGCCAAGCTAGTTCAGCTGGCCTCTCTCCACCATCAGCAGTTCCACAAGACCACCCTGTGTACAGCGGGGACGGGCCATGCCAGACCACTGGGAAGCCACGCACACCCCATGACACTTTTAAAAGCATGTTGCAGAACTCTAGGTTGAGAACCACTGATTTAGAGACAGCCTGAGAGTGATAGGGGAACTGTCAGGGTCACTCCAAGACACATGGTATTTCTTCCTGGTGTGTCTGCTCTTCCTAATTTTGGTCTCATAGGTACCCCAGTGGGGCGAGTGGGCGGTACAAGGCCTGGAGATCTAGCCTGCCCTAATTCTGCAGGAGAGGGCTGTGTTATTCTGAGATTATGCACTAGATGGTGCAGTTGATGCAATATTTGGCCTGTAAAGATCTTTGTTTCTCACATGTTGAAAACTTTCAGCACTGACAGGTAGCGCAGGACTTGCTGTACCAAGCCCATTCTTTGCATACAAGCAGCATGTTTCTCTTATGCTTCACAGAACTGGTCTTTCTGCACAACAAATGAATCTGTCCTGCTGAGCCTTTTCTATCCAGTGCTATAGGACTGGGAACTTTGCCACTGAGCTTTGCTCGTTTCCATCAGGCTCTTAGAAACAAGCCAGCAACATTAATGTGTTATAGGTGAGAGATACTAGTGGTTGGATGGAGAGATGTGCTAATCAGATAATATTTAGGTTTCCCACTCTGGCTTCTTCCCTTGTCCTCTTATTAAGGAAAGGGTGCAGTGGAGCTGAAGATCTGCTTATATTGGTTTTGCTGCAAGAGAGTGCTCCAACTATATTTCCTATGGTGGGGATGTCAAAGTGCAAGGAGTCACATCTTCCCTTCATTTCTGTAGACAAGAAGGATTGGCTTGCACCAGTTCTGCTGGGCACTGAATTAGGGATTGCTATTTCTGCAGTAATGCTCCCAGTCCTTACCTCCAACCTGTGAAAACTCTACCATAGCTGGGATCTGTAGAAGGGAAGGAAGTAATGTGCATTGCAACATACATCCAGTGGAGATGGCAGTATTCAGATGTCCAATTTCCTCATGCAGAATCTGGGAACGTTTCCCCTTTTGTGGTTCACTGATGGCATGTCTATTTTAGAAGCACTGGACTGGAGTCAAGGAGGATATAGAACAATAGTGCTAATGCCTTGGGCTCCCATCTGTATTTCTTATGTCTCTGGATCCTTTCAGATCTGCACGCGTGCTGGGAACTATGTTCTGGCAGGAATCACTGCACAGTGCTATTACACATAGTTCCAAAAATTATTTTTCTTAGCACATGTTCAAATTTTCAGTCTGCAAGACATTCACACCTTTAGTTTTATAATTCAGTAGTCCTTTGACAAGTGCTCAAGTGAAGAAAAGCAGCAAGTAGCAAAGACTTTACTCTTTGCTTTATTCTCTATATTTGTAAGTAAGAGTCCCTTTCCTGAAAGAGGATATTGGTGCATAGAAAGAGATTTTTGAAGAAGGGAGATCATCTCTATCCATTTGGTGACCTCTGTTCCAGGACAGGTGTCCGAGAGGGAAGAAAAATCCAGAATGGCTGATTTCTCCCACACTAGGAACTCATTTTCCAAGGTACTAGAATTCTGGTTTCTCTCATGAGAGGGATGATACTCATATATGAAAGGGAACAGCGGTATCTTATGCTGCTGACAAATGTTCAGTTAAAGGCATGGTGGGATTTGATCCACAATCCCAACAATTGTGCCTCCTACCAGAGGTGCACTGATAAAGATGCAGCCTGGTAGCTTGGAGAGCAGCCTTCTGCCAATAAGTCTTGCGGGGGCAGGAGGGGGAGAGCAGATTGATGCCCTGACAGTGAGAGAGGGAGTGGGGCAGGGGCAGGGGCAGGTACTGCCCAGCTGGGGCAGTGAATATGACTCTGGGGTGGGGCGGAGGGCGGAGCTGTGGGTGGCTCATCTGGGTGGTAGGGGGCTGGATTCCCGCTGCTGTGTGCACCCCTGGGGGAGGCATGGGGGGCATGTGCCACCCCCTCGCCATTGGAGTTGTGCACAGGGTAAGGGCAGGCTGCCTGCTGCAGGCTGGGGGCCAGGGTCTGCGTTGGCCTCTTCCCAGTGGATGGGGTGGGCCAGGGCTATGCTTGGGGCAGGCAACAGCAACACTAGGGAGGGCTTGGGGGGCTATGGCCACAGCAAAATTTCCCATAAGCCCCCTGTAGCCACCCCTCCCAGTGCCTACCTCATGCAGCTGAGCTCACCTCACCCATCCCAAGTGTGGCCCTGGCCCAACCCCCTACTGGGAAGAAGCCAGTGCCACCCCTGGCCCCAAGCTTGTAGTGGGCAGCCCACCCTCACTATACGCACAAATCTGGTGGGGGGCCCATGCCCCCATGCCTCCCCTGGGGGTGTGCACAGTGGAAGGGAGATGCCCCCACACCCTTTGGATGAGTCACCTCTGGCTCTGCCCTGTCCCATGCCCTGGAGTCGCATTCACCGCCTTGACTGGGCAGTGCCTGCCCCTGCCCCACTCCCTCCCTCACCATGGGGACCTTCAACTGCCCTGCCCCCACTCCTTCCCCTGCACAGACTTACTGGCTGGACACTGCTTTACAGACTGCTGTGCAACATTTCTGGCCACATACATGCACGTAGCATTTATAGGTGACATTATCAGCCAAAAACAGCTGATTGCCAATAATGTTAATTTTCCTGTTATTGGTGCCAATCTGATATGACTGATGTATCAGTGTACCTCTACCTCCTACCATACAACATATGCATGGCAGGTCAAGATTTTCCATCAGGAATTAGACCCCAATCACACCCTATTTGCCAATGAAGGGGAGCCTGTGTGATAGGGTGCCTCTCCAAGGTGGCTACAAAGCCCCTGGAGTCCCTGCAGCCCTCACTTTGTTGGACAATCACTACTTTTGTCACCCACCATGCCTTGATGTTGTTTATTTTTATGATGGAGGCTGACCCAGGGCTTGCTAAATTGCTCTTCCAAATGGCCAGCAGGTGCCAGTGCTCCCTGCCTTATGGGCTAATTTCAGGTCTCTTTCCCCACCTTACCCCATGCCTCACAGTATCCTCATTGATGTTCTCTTCCACTTAGCCCCTCCCCTGAGGTTCCTGGACCCTTGCCAGTTCCGCTCTCTGCCTCTCACTAGGCTCCTGGACCCCTCCTTGGGTCTTTAGGAACCTCGTCATTGTCCTCCTCCTCCTTGGCTGGATCAGGACTAGACTGGGGTTCAAACTGGCCATGGTAGGGTCCCTGCCAGCCAACAATCAGCTGATCAGTCCCTGCCAGCTCATGATTTTGTGGCTAGTTTAGTGTTTTGTCTCATCATTAATTGCATGAATTTGTGGCTGAGTTACACTTTAAGATACAATTAACTGATTATTGTGTCCTAAGCTGAATATCTGCCAGGGGCCTTAGTTTAGGGATACCACCTGAAGCCAGTTCCCCCCATGGGCAAATCAGTGATAGCAGACATCTTCTAGGAACATAGGTAGGCAGTTAAATAATAGCAGGGAAAACACCTGAACTCCCAACTTGTAGATTTTCTCAATTTCTATAAAGGGTATAATTTACCTACACTAAGGATCTGATTTAAGATTCATAATTTATTCCAAAGGATTTTTTTAACTTGGAGACATTCTCAAGCAGCTAAGATCTAAAGTTTATGGGCTCTTTAATATTATCTAAAAATGAAATGTGACCAGCAGGTTTTCACTGATTAAAAAAGCCATGTATTTTAAATGAAAACCATTTTTAAATAGTATAAAAAATAAGCTCCTCTGATGGTCTAACATCATACAAATAAAACATGATTATATGTGAGAATCAGAATGGAAAGCAAAACTATCCATTTTAATTTTACTGCCTATAAGGAGTACAGCACAAGGAGAGATAGTGTATGTTCAGTTGACTTAATGCAATGCAAGTCAGGAGACCTGAGTTATGTTCCCAGACCTGCTAATTACTTTCTCTGTAACCTTGGGCATTTTATTTCACTTCTCCATACTGTTTTTGCCCCTTGGCAGACATTAAAATGATGGCATGATTGCCACATCCCAAAAGTTGTGCACCCTGCTATGCCAGATGTGCATGGCAGGATAAACAATGTTTGGGATGGGGTATATGTGGCAGGGCACTTGGAGTGCCTCCTACTTTAAGAGTCAGGCAGCCTGTGAAGCAGGTGTGGGGCAGGGCTAACTGGGAGACAGCTGACCCAGGGAGCTGGCAAGTAAGGCTAAGCCTGATAGTGGGATTCATCTGACTTGGAATGAGGTCTGGACTTAGAGTACGTGTAAGCCCAGGCCTTGAGAGGAGCTGGCAGTAAGTTCTGGAGATTGCCTCAGCAGGATGGTTACAGCTCCAGAAGGTCAGTAGGGAGGGCAAAATCTGAAGCAGTTCGGAGGTTTGGGTAGGATCTAAGGAGCTGGTGAAAGTTCCTGGGGACCCAGTGAGGGATCTGGGTGAGCCCAGAGATTGGGGCTGAATGTAGGACACCTGTGAGGGGTCTGCGGAGCCCAGAGAGAGGGGCTGAATGAAGGGGACCTATTGAGGGGTCCAGGGGAGCCTAGAGAGAGGGGACAAATGAAGAGGGCCCAGGGAGGGGTCTGGGTGAGCCCAGAAAGAGGGATTGAATGTAGGGGGTCTAATGAGGGGTCTGGAGCCCAGAGGAGAGCTAAAGGTGAGCCCAGAGAGACTAGGGCCTGAGCTGGGGCCAGGGGGCCTGGAGGTTGGTAGATCAAGAACAGCAATGAATGGGTTTGGAAGCCCATAGTTCAGGAAGGATGTGTAACATCAGGATCTCCAGGGTAGGATAGCCTGGAGGATGGTCCTGGGTAGGACCTGAAACTGTACCTTACTGAGGCTGGCTAGCATGGTGGGGTGCCTGTAGTGGGGCAGCCTCCATGAAATACCATGCATGGTCCACCCTAGTGAAAAACAAATATGGGGCACCTTAAAGCCTCAGCTCCCACTGCCTTGTGGGTTACCCTGTGGAGGAGAAAGGCTAAGGGACCACACCCTAACAGCAAAGGAAGGAGGAAGAGTGGGACTATGTGGGCCTGGAGAGGGGCCAGGAAAGAGGGGGACTGTGCAGCCCCAGAGAGAGTGAGAGGACCAGTGGATCCACAAGCAGAGTGCCTGAGGAAAGCTGGGATCAGGGCCAGTGCCTAAGGCTGCACCTGGGAGTAAGTATGAGGAGAATGCCTGAGGTGTGGGCAGAAAGGGGCTACATGTTGGAGTAGCCATGATAGGCAAAGTGCCTGGGGTGTGGATAGAGCCACCCCTGGGAGTAGCCAGGATGGGCAAAGGGCCCAGATGGGGCAGAGAGAGGGGCATCAATCCAAGGTCACACCTGGGAGTAGCCATGAGGGGCAAAGTGCCCAGGTCTGGGCAGCAAGAGCCAAATCAAGAGCATGGGCAACTGTGCCTCTCAAGTCTGGGTTGGCAGCAGCGGGGCATGACCGAGGGGGAGAGGGGGATGTTCTCCCAGCAGCCAGCTGGCGACTGGGTGGGGGTCCCCCAGTGGCCAGCCCCATTGGAGCCAATTTCAGGGGGGGCACTAGTACTCTCTCAGCCCCCCTACCAGCCAGACTTGCTGTTGGGAGGGGGCCACCAGTGCTCTCAGGGGGGGCACATGCCCCCGCATGCCCTCCCTACATATCACCTATGCTCAAGAGTGATCTGTAACACCAGTAGGGCTGAAAGGGAGAGGGGGATCAGTAGGGTCCAGTAGCCCAGTGAGAGGCTGGGGAGTAGTGTGAGGCCTAGCAAGGGGCCAGAGGTCTAGAGTGGCTGGGGAAAAATGGACAACCAGAAGAGTCCAGAAAGAGACCAAAGGGGCCTGGCAGCCCAGAGAGGGGCCAAGTGAAAGACCGAAGGGACTGGCAGCCCAGGGAGGGGTTGCACAAGAGTCTGAGGAGTCTGAGGACCCAAAGTGGGGCTGGCCAAGGCCAAAGAGTCTGAGGGCCCAGAGAAGGGCTAAGTGAGTGATGAGACAGAACATCAATGCAGATGATATCTGTGAGGCTTGGGTCATGGAGTAGGGGTGGAATGGAGCCATGCAATTGGCCCATAATGCCTTGACCACAAACCTGGTGGTCATTATGATAAGACCAGGGCACCCTTCAGCATTCTGTATAATGAAAAACATAAATATGTGGTGGGTGAGAGCAGGACATACTTCCTATACAGCAGGGTACAGGATACAGGAAATTTAGGATGCAACAACCCCATGTACCGCTACAGGCTTGGGATCAACTGGCTAATCAGCTGCTCTCCAGAAAAGGAATTGGGGGTTACAGTGGACAATAAGCTGGATGTGAGTCAACAGTGTGCCCTTGTTGCCAAGAAGGCCAACAACATACTGGGATGCATTAGTAGGAATGCTGCCAGAGATCAAGGGAAGTAATTATTTCCCTCTATTCTGCACCAGTGAGGCCTCATCTGGAGTACTGTGTTCAGTTTTGGGCTCCCCACTACAGAAGGGACATGTACAAATTGGAGAGAGTCCAGCAGAGGGCAACAAAAATGGTTAGGGGGCTGGGTAGGGTTACCATATTTCCAGGTCCAAAAAAAAGGACATCTGTCACAGGGAGGGGGGAATGCAGTAACATGCCAGTGCCCTGCCCCTGCTGATTCTGTTGCCCCTCACTGACAAGCCACACGCCCCAGCCCTTTTGCTGCCCCTCACTCCGGACCCACTGACCCCAGCACTGCCAGTGCCCCTCACTCCCAAACAGCAGTACTGTGCCCCCCACCCTTTGCTGGTGCCCCTCATTCCCAACCCGCAGCCCCCTGGTGCTGCCAGTGCCCTGCACACCCAACCTGCAGTCACCCATCCCATCCCATTCCCCATGCCCCTCACTCCTGATCCACAGCCCCCTGCCTCCCACCCAGCCCTGGCGGTGCCCCTCATCCCCAAGCTGCAGCCCCCCAGCAGCTCAGGTAGTGCCTTTCACCCCTGATCTGTGGCCCCTGCCCCCCCAAACCCTGCTGTTGCCCCTCACTCCCAACCATAGCCCCTATCCCCAGCCCTCACTCCTGACTCACAGCCCCCTGTCCCTGCCCCCATTTGAGCAGGGGGCTGGACTAGATGACCTTCTGAGGTCCCTTCCAACCCTGCTTTTGTATGATTCTATGCCACTTTTTGATCTCCAGGGGCTTTACAGCCATCCCTGGAAGTTGCACCCTGTGACAGTATAAAATTCTTCCTATCCCAATTGTGCTGCTGCAGGGCTGCCCCCAGGCTAAACCTGTGGATAGGGCCAGGGATGGCTTTGTCCCAGACCCAGGGCCTGGACTGTGCCTGATCTCAAAGCTCAACTGAGCATTGAGATCAGGCATAGGCAGCCCTAGGTCTTGGTTCAGGACCCTGAGATACCCCACAGCCTGATCTCCAGGAATCAGGCTGGGGGTAGCCCCAGGACCTAGACTGTCTGGGGCCAGGAATGACAATTAAGTGATTGCACCAGCCCTGGGGTTTGGTTCAGGATTGGGGGCTGTCTAGGACTGGTGCCAACAATCATTGTTGGCAGTAGTCCCAGGTCCAGTTTGAGACTTGGGACTGCCCTCAGCCAATGCTGACAATCAACTGATTGTTGACATTGGTAGGGAAGCCCCAATCTGGAACAAAATACATGCAATACATTCAATTTACAGTGTCATGCAAACCAGCCACAAAGATGTTCTACATTATATGTAGAGCAATTACGTGGCTGGTTTGCCACTCTATGTTGCCATAAATTGGCTGAACCTGTGGCATGTTGTGATTTATGGTTTGATAAACATGTTAATCATGTCATAAATGTAATATCTTCCAGGGGCCTTCCCCCCTCCTCCCTTTCCCCCTTTCCATCTTTGGCCTGGCTTGTCTGTTAAGAACCTGATACTACAAAATGTACTGCTTCGTGCATAATATTAAAAGTATTTGCAAACTAGAAGTTTAGACCTATGGTATCCATGAGAACATAGTAGTGATTTAACTAAATTGATTTAGAAAATACTCTTGTTAAATCAGTGCAGCTCTTTTGTGCATTGAATGGTTTATATCATTGCTGTTTAAGTCATGAGTGGCTTTGTAACAAATTAATTCTGTTGGCACAGAGTGTGAAGGATTATACTGGGTGTTCAGTTCTTCTCTCTCAATATTTATTAAGCTAAGACATCTTTGTGGCTTGGTGCTGTTCTCCTTAATTTTTCTCTGCTTAATGGACCTGATCCAGCTCCCACTGGAGTAAATGAGGCCCTCCCATTGATCACTGTGGGAGTTGGATACAGCTCTATTTCAGTCAACAAATTGGAGTGGGCTGGAATGACAGTCTCAGCCTCACCACAGGCAGAATTCCCAGCTTCAAGCCTGATATGCTGGCAAAAGCATCTCTGCTTCTTCCCCATGAATTACTGACAAATACCTGCAAGCTGACTGTGATGCAAGAACACACTTTCCCTGCCTCCACTGTTATTATTGTCTGAGATCCTTACCTAGGGACATTTGCAGAAGAGTAGTCATCTGCCCTGGCTTTCATAGCACTAATAAAACATACAAACTTACTTCGTATAGCAAGATGGGACAAAAATGACCCTTCTATTCAACCAGCCCCATGGACTCTAAGTTCAGATTGAATAGAATTTGAAATCAAACCATCTCTAGTTTGGATCCACGGCAGATGTGGCAAACCAAAACCACCATTGCTTTTATGCAGTACTTCTCATTCTAAAGGACAAAGAACCCAAAACACTTAATAGGATTAATTTGTGCACCTGATGAAATACAAACTACTCCAAATTTCCACTTGGATTTGGCATTGTAGTCTAGTCAGGGGTGCAACTTGGCAGCTGTTTATCAGCTCACAACAACATTGCTCAACAAAACAGCGCAGGAAATAAAGAAGAAAACTCTGTGTCCAACTGACACAACAGCAGCAATCACCCAAACTGTAGCATGGCCAGGACAGTAGGGCCAGTAATCCTACAGATGCGAAAGAAAAGGTAGTATGCACAGTGGGGGAAGTTTTTGGCTGATGAAGAAAAGTCCCAATAGTTCAGAATAATCCAAGCATTTCCATTTGTTGGGCTGAAGCAGCCAAGGAATGTGTCTTGAGAGAGACCCCGAGCCTGTAACCTGCAACAGGAGGCCTGAGATTATGCTGAACTAATTCAGCTTTATTTTCATCAGTTGAAGATTTTCCCTATTGTACCCAAAGCTTCAGGTTCCTGGCTATAAACAGTCTGTGCTGTAGGAACAACTGGCTCTCTGGAGTATGTGATTTAACACCCTGGAAAAGACCAACTGACTTATGCAGAAGATTAAGATTTCTGAGTTAGAACAGATTGGCTTTATTCTTCCTGGCCTGGACATTAATAAAGATGCAAGCTCCAATGTGCCAAGCAAACTCCACAAATGCCTGGGTGTTGCTCCCCACTAGGTCTGTGTCTGGCTACTTTGTAATGTTCCACCCCACTATGATTCAGTTCCAGTTCTTTAATACCTTTGCTTAACACACAGGCTAAGTACAGACAGTCAAAAGGCCTGAGGATGATTCAATTCAATCTTCACAGGTTAGTCTAAATGGTGTAGATAGAACCAATAAGCAAATGAACAGACATTTATTTTTGATTCCAGAAATGCAACCACATGCCTGCAGTGGCCCAGGCCAGAAGCTTGGGGGGGCTCTAGAGCACACCTCTTTGCTTGTCTGGAGCAGACAGCTGGGGCCAAGGCTAGCCTCCCTGTGGGGCAGGGGGGTTTGCGGGGGAGGTGCAAATCATTCTGGGATGCTGGGGGACTGTGAATTAATTTGAATCTGGAGGGAATCTGGGACAGAGATTCAATAAACTATTTAATCTAAATCAGTTAAAGTTTAATACTACATCCATCCAGGTTTATCTTAAACCAGTTTCGGCCATTATGAAAGCAGTTATGTGCACTGAACTTCTGTTCTTACAGATCTGAACCCATTTCCAATCACTGACATCTGTTTATGTTTAATATCTGTCCCCACTGTGATAGAGATAAGAGACTTTGGGAAGGGTAGTATAGACATTGAATAAATAAACAGAAATAAATATTCACCCCTCCTCCTTCTGTTTTCTACCCCTGGTTTCATTGCGATTCCTTGCTTTGTTACAGGCTTATGATGGAACTTACATCTCTGCCTAAGCTCCTCTGGACAAGTGATAACAAGGCCCTGCATCACCATTTTCCAGATGTATTGGCAACTGTTCATACCACCCAAGACATCCCAGAAGAGGCCATTTTTGGACCATGTATCCTCCAGAATACTTTGTTGGACACTATAGCTTTTATTGCTCTCAAATGCTCTGATCGAAGAAATATCCATTATGTATTTAAGGTAGGAGAATGTGAAATTGATGCTAGTAATGAGTCAAGGAAACCACATCCTCCTTTGATAGGTGGCATGGTCAAGCTGTAGACTTATCTATAGCCTAAGATAGCTCAAAGCTACCCTGAAAAGGGAAACTGGTCCAATTCAATGCTAGCTTGGAGGCTAGTAAAGGCACTTTCTTCACAGGGAAGATGACACACCATATCTTGGCTTATTCCCATTTTTGCCCAGAGCATCCATGATCTGCTTCAAGCCCAGCGGGGGTGGAGAGAGGATCAAAGAGTTTGCTATGACTCCTCACCTCTGCATTTTTTCACTCTGAGATGAAAAACCAAAGGCTTGTAACTGGACAAGCTAGCTTTTAAGACCAAAGAAGGCAGCATCTGGGATTGTACTCTCTCTTAGGCTATACGGTCAGAGGTATGATTGTTCACCTGGTGGCAAACCTGAGTTAACTTTAATCTCATCAGCTTTGGTACCAGTGGCAGGGAGGCAGTGATGGCTCTGATTGCAGTGTGGGTTCTCTGTTTGGTATGCTACTGAGCTCCATGCTGCCATAGTTTCCCTGCTGCTAGTACTGACTGGAGCTGGCTAGATTAAATTTAGTTTGCATATGCCTTCCAGTGCTGCATTTGCATCTTCCACATATAGTGCAGATGTAGTCTTAAAGACAGATTCTTGGGGCCAAAGCAGATACTGCTGAGAGAGGGCATGTACACACAGTGTGATGCAATACTGTATAGAGATACCTCTCCTGAAGTCTGTGTGGCACAAGGTAATGCTATTTAGATCAATTATAAGGGACTGAGTTTGGAGGCTGCTTGCTTTGTCCAGATGAAGCCTAGGAGGCACAAAGGGAGAGCAGGCCTCCCCATTCCTTGAGCCCAGATGAAGCTGGGTCTGCGCTGTCATAGCTCAGTGCTGGTCTCAGAGATTGTGCCAAAAATAAGCCCTGCCCATCTACTGCTGCTCCATACACTCAAACATAGAAATGCAGCCCTTGGGACATACAGAACAGAGAGCAGGGGGAGAAAGCTTATATTTTGGCCACACCCTTGAAAGCAGTGCTGAACTAGTGTAGATCTATCCAAGGGCCCAGGAGCTGCTGAAGTTTGTAGGCTCCAAAGGGAGAGGGCAAGGAGAGTGTAGGGGCAGCTAATGGGAGGTCTTGGTTGTTTACATTTTCTTCAGGCAGCAAAAGGAGTGTGGGAACCCAGGAAGAAGAAACCTTATGGCCTGGTTGTGTGTGTGTTGGTCTTTAATGCAAGGTGGCTTGTTCAGTCTTTGCTACCAGAGAGACCTGTGAGTTTTCTAGGAAAAAAGGTTCTTTGGAGCAGGCCTGTACTGCTGGGGTTTGATGGGTGAGGCCTGTTCTGTGACTTGGATATGGGTTGTACAGCCAGAGCTATGTGCCATGGGACGTAAACAGAGACCCCATCATGGCTCTTGCTGGTTGCCTGAAGCAAGTACCTACCATATAGCCAAAGCATTATCTCTGCAGCCCAACATGGGAATTGCAAACACCTCATTTCATGTATCATGTGCTGATTGTTGAACCAAGTACCCCCAATCCTGTCATACTATCCCTTGCATAAACTTAATAAGCTTGATCTTAAAGTGATTAAGATGTCTTCTGCTTGCTATGTCACTCAGAAGAGCACTTCAAACTTGACTCCTCTGGAACTGGAAGCTTTGTATCAGCCTAAATGCATCCACAGCCAGTTTGCAGATACTTGCTGGCACTGATTCTAAGAGTTTTTCAGGCTGAAGAACACAGAAAATTAGGGTTGGAAGGGACCACAGGAGGTCATATAGTCCGTAGTCCAACCCCCTGCTCAAAGCAGGACCATCCCCAACTAGATCATCTCAGCCAAGGCTTTGTCTAGCCAGGTTTTGAAAACTTCCAAGGATGGAATTTCTACAACCTCTCTAGGTAATCTGTTCCAGTGCTTTACTACCTTCCTAGTGAGAGAGTTCTTCTTACTATCTAACCCAGGGGTGGACAATTATTTTGGGTGGAGGGCCACTTATTGAGTTTTAGCAAGCGGTCTGGGCTGCATTGGTAGCCCCGCCCCTTCGTAGGTGCCCCACCCCCTGGTCACCATCTTGTGACCGGAAGTCCTGACCCCTAACCCCCAAACTTTGCCACAGAAGTCCCTCCCTTTGCCCCTGGAAATACTCCTTTCAGCAAGGGGTTTTGCCATCTCAGAACCAGAAAAGTACCAAATTATATTCTAAAAATTGAACATCTACAACATTCATTAATTTGATTTCAAAAAAATATTTTTGTCCTGATTTACATACATTTGTGTAGTGTACACAGAGGTGATTGCACAATAGCTTAAAATTAAGTCTTACTCTTGAATATTATGGGGAGTGAGGGGCATGTGGTGTGTGGGGGAGGGTGGGGGTGTGAGTGTGCGTTGAGGGAGCATATGGAGGTGTGTATGGGGGTACCTTGTAGCTGGCTCCTGCCAGCTCTCCCTGGGTCCTACTGCCCCTGGCTCCTGTCATCTTTGACAGGCAACCAGGAGCAGATAAATATATAATTTTTAATATTTTTAGGGGCTCACAGGCCAGATAGAATGGCCTGGTGGGCCAGATCTGGTCCACAGGCCGTATTTTGCCCACCCCTTCCCTAGTCTGTAGTGGTATAGGAGATTGTTCCATCCTAAATGTAGGACTTTGTATTTGTCCTTGTTGAAATTCATGACATTTCTTTCAGTCCAATTTGTCAAGGTCTCTCTGAATCCTAGCCCTAACCTACTACTCTCCCCAGCTTGGTGTCATCTGCAAACTTTCTGAGGGTGCACTCCATCCCATCTTCCAGATCATTGATGAAGATACTGAACATTGATGAAGATATTGGCCCACACCTGTAGGGGACAGATCTGAAAAGTAAAGGTGGTAACCAAATTCAGGTTAGCAACCAAAATCAAGGACAATAAGAAATCAAGGACAATAAGAAACCAAGGAGGAAAACCAGTGGAAACATGGGACTACTATTCACCAACACCAAGGAGAAAACTGAACTCCTGAATGAGTACTTCACATCTGTATTACACCAGTCTAAGAGTGATAGCCTGCCAAATGCAAATATGATACAGAATAGTTATAGTAGGGATGGTCACCTACCAACAGTTCATGCTGGTGAAGGAACAGCTAGGGAGGCTGGGTATCTCTAAGTCAGCAGGACTGGATGAACTCCATCTGAGAGTGCTGAACAAAGTAGCCAAAGTCATCGCAGAACTGCTGGTGAACCTCTTTGAGAATTCATGGTGCTCAGAAGAGGTCCCAAAAGACTGGAAGTGGGCCAAAGTTGTGCCCATCTTCAAGAAGGGGAGGAGAGAGGACCCAGGGAACTATAGGCTGATCAGCTTAACTTCAATCCCCAGGAAAAATCCTCAAAAAATTTCTTAAGGAGTCCATATGTGATAAGATAGCAGAAGGCAAAAAATTGTGCTGGCTGTTGCTCAGAATTTTCGCGGGTGGGTCATGTCTGACTAACCTCATCTGCTTCTACGACCAGGTTACTCACTACCTGGATAAGGGAAATGAGGTCGACGTCACTTATTTGGATTTTAGGAATGCCTTTAACTTGGTGTCCCATAAGGCTTTCAAGGTAAAACTAGAGGACTATGGGCTCAACAATTCAATAGTTAGATGAGTGGGAAACTGGCTGTGGAGTTGAACCCTGAGAGTACTAATAGACGGGTCTGTGTCAACCTGGCGGAAGGTAGCCAATGGGGTCCCCCAGGATTTGGTACTTGGACCAGTGCTTTTCAACATCTTCATCAATGATCTGGATCTGGGGGTGAAGAGGACACTGGCAAAGTTCGCTGATGACACTAAGCTGTGGGGAAGTGTGGCCACACATCAGGGTAGGATGACCATCCAGGTGGACTTAGATTAGTTTGATGGGTGGACCAGAATCAGATGCAGTTCAACACTGACAAGTGTAAAGTGCTCCATCTGGGCAGGGAAAAACAGATATGGGACTGTTCAGCCTAGAAAAGAGAAGACTTTGGGAGGATTGATGGCAGCTTACAAATATATCAGGGGAGAGCATCAGGGTTTAGGCAAACAACTGTTCACCAGCGCACCCCAGGAGAAAACCAGGAGCAATAGTCATAAACTGCTAGGAGAAAGTTTCAGACTGGATATAAGGAAAAACTCTATTCCAGACTCTGGAATAGATTCCCAGCGAGGGTGGTGCAGGCACCTACCCTGGAGATCTTCAAAAGGAGACTGGATACACACCTTGCTGGGGTTATTTAACCCCAATAGTCTTTCCTGCCCAGAGCAGTGGGGATGGACTTGATGATCTCACGAGGTCCCTTCCAGCCCCAAACTTCTGTGAACAAAACCAGCCCCATGACAGACCCCCCTCTTGATGGTCCCTGCCAATGAGACATTGAGCTATTGATGAGTACCCTTTGAGCCCAATAATCAAGCCAGTTTTCTACCCACCTAACAGTCCATTCATCCAACCTGTACTCCCTTAGCTTGTTTGCAAAAATGCTGTGGGAGACTGTATTAAAAGCCTGGCTAAAGATGAGACATATTATATCCACTGCTCACCCTGCATCCACAGGGTCAGTCATCTCATCATAGAAGGCAATCAGGTTAGTCAGGCATGACTTGCTCTTGGTGAATCCATCTTGCTTGTTTCTAAGCACTTTCATTTCTTCCAAGTGGTTAGAAATGGACTCCTTGTGGGCTGCTCCATGATTTTTCCAGGGACTGAGGTGAGGCTGACTGGTCTATAGTTCCCTGGATCCTCCTCCTTTCTTAAAGATGGGCACTCTATTATATTTACCCTTTTCCACTCATAAAGGCTGTCTCCCAGTTGCCATGTGCTTTCAGAGATAATGGGCAGTGGCTTTGGAACTGTATTGGCCAACTCTCTCAGCATCCTCGGGTATATCACGTATAGCCTCATGGACTTGTACATGTCAAGCTTTTCTGAATAGTCCCTAACCTGTTCTTTCACCACTGTTGGCTGC